CCACCTTGTTTATTGAAAGATCTGCTCTTTATCTTCATCTGTCAATTATCAATTAATTTAAGGATAACATTCATGTTTTCATTTGACCTGACCCAGTTCTTTGATCAAGAAACAATACTTAGCACAGATATCTTTTCTGATAGCGCCACTAACAGGTTCTTTAGTGATATTTAAAATAAACCCAGGGGACTGATTTGAACTCTACCACAAATGTTCAGGTTTCCATGCCATAAGCAGCTGCTAATGTTTGACGAATGTGTGAAGAATGTACTGGGTGGAACACAGTTCATTTTATTTCCAAAAATAACACATAAAGATTACCAGAGCTCAATTATATAGGCAGATAGGTAAGGACTCCACCTTTATTTATATAGCCATTTTCATCCAAAAGCAGCTAAGAGTGGTTATACAATGAATGCATACAAATACATAGAAGTTCTTAACAAGTTATAAGGGATACATAAAAGTGAATTAAAAATACGTTTAAATTACATTAGTTCATAAAACAAAAACATTTTAACCTGGCATGAAAAGAGCGTGGGGTGGCGGCAGTTCTACAGCATACAGGAATCTTTATTTGGATTGTTGCAGCAACAAATCTGAAGGCTGCTTCAGGGTCTTTTATGAGTCTTGAAATGGTGAGTACTGTGAGTTTGACTCTGATGATCTTCAAGGTCTTTATGGTTTGTAGCAGTCAAGAAGTTCAGAGATGTAATGAGGGCTCTGACTAGTGAGTGCCTTGAAAAAAAAACTTATAACTGGACAGATGTGCCGGTCTGTTCTTTTTATAAGAACTAGCTACTACAGTTTTAAGAAGTTGGACCTGTCTGATTCTCAGTCTGATGAGACTTATTTTTTCAGGATCCTGCCATCTGTTGTCTAACTCTAGCAAAAACATTTAAATAATAATAAATATAATCTAGTTATCATGATTTATATCTGGATCAATGATCATCCCAAGGTTTCTAGCCATATCAGTGGTCTGCAGGTCTGCAAAAAAGACACTTTTTTGTAGGTCCTGAGGGGTTACATAAGTGATCTAAGTTTCAGAACTCTCAGTCATAACATGACATGGGGCTTACCCTTTGTTTTAATGTCAAATGACCAAGTTTGACGCTTGGCCACGCCCACATGCTTTGATGTAGAAAAATTCCTTTCTTAACTTTTGATCCCCAATGCCTCAAATCATTGTACAGTGAATATGAAGTGTGTAACTCAAAAGCTGTAGGAGGAGTTTGTTCAAATATTGTCATGATCTGGCCTGCTTGCTCTCCCTTAATTGGATATTTCATTCACCTGCCGTTTTCCCTCCCTGCCTCAATTATCATTTATTCCTCTCACCTGTTTCCTCTGGAATATATTCTGTTTAGCCTGAGCATTCTGGGCCAGATCATTGTTGTTTGTTTTCTGTTCATCCTGAGGTTCATGTCCTGGATCCTGGCGGCTAGTGGAAAGAGGGTTTTGTGTCTGTCTCATCTCCTGCTTGTCCACTGTTCCTCCCTTGCTGAGTCCTCTGGGTTTTTGGCTCTGTACGCGGGGAGGTTCAGTATTTATCCAGTAAGCCCGGCTCCAAGGTGGAGACCAGTTTAAAGGTCCTGCATCAAGTTCTGGTTCCACGTCCTGTCTCGGCTACCCTCTTCCAATGAGCCTCCCTGTCTGCACCTGATCCTGTCTGCTCCTGTGTGAGACCGCCTGGTCATACTTCCGGTCCCAGTCAGACTCTGAACCCGCCTGGGAGCTCTATGATGCCTGGAAGCCTGGATCCTGCCACCTGTCTGTTCTAGCCGGTTCTGGATCCTGTTCTTTCTGTCCCAGTCTGTTCTGAATCCCTGACAAGGATCAGCTTCCTGCAAGACCTCTAGAACTGCAGCACTGGGGACACTCTTGGACTGGACTGTTAAACCAAGTGACCAACTCAGGTAATCATCTTCTGTCAGATGATCGTGGTCACTTACCTGTGTTTCTCCCACTAACAGTGTCTGTGATTGGGCGGTGCCCAGCCCCCCCGCGCCCCCCCCCCCCCCCCCCCCCCACCTGCAGTCGCCGCATGCCACAGATCCTAGCAGCTCCCCTGTTAGTTTTGTTCGTTATATAAATGTTTTGTACTTTCCTACTGGCTGTCTCTCCTCAAATGCTGGGTCCATCTGTCCTCGTTTCATGACAAATATAGAAGCTTTAAAGTGCAAAATTACAGCCAAAATTTTAATTTCAATCCAAAATGGCTGACTTCCTGTGGGGTTTAGACCATGGCTCCATGAGGCATTTTTGTAGGTCCTGGTGGGTTAAACATGTTTGCCAACTTTCATAATCGTAAGTAATTGCGTGGCTTGGGGCTGGTTGTTTTAGTCTTTCTAGGTGGCGCTGTAGAAAAAGTAAGCCATGCCCACCAATTATTGGCCTATATTCTTCTTTGGGCTTGGATCAGGTTCCATCATAGTGACTTTGGGGAAGATTGAAGGATCTATGAGGAGATGAGAGCCAATATGGTCATGGCAAAACGCCTCACTTTGCCAGGTCGCCTTGGCAACTTCATTTAACTAAAACCCTCTGCGCTTTAAATGAACTTAGACCAACATGTTTTCTGCCTTCTGACCTAGTTTCAAGGTGCTGATGTTTAAAATGACTGAAAAGGACCCTCCCAAGTTAAAAAAGTGGCTTTCTTCCCTCAGGGGGAGGGGCTTAGGTGATGTTATCATTTGACCATACAGTATCATCAAGCACCCAAAGGGGCTCTTTACTGCAAAACTTGGTTCGATTTGAATTTTTTTGTAAAAGTTATTCCATTTTGAATTTCTTGAAAAGTAGGCTACCCTAACTTCAGGGCCCCTGGAGACCCCTTCAACATGCTCAAAAACGAAAACCTTTGATAACTTTTAATCTCCAATTCCTTAACTGCATAATGACCGAGTCTGAAGGCGATATCACTGTGGTTCTTTGAAAATGGCCTAGGGTCCTGAGATAAAAAGTTTCTACGAAGTGTATGATAGGAAAAGAAAAGCCTCAGAAGAGGCAGATATATCCCAGAATGCTTTGTGCGGAGAGCTCTCCTCACAAAGCATTATGGGATTTGCTGTTATAGCGGCCCACTGTCACTATAGGCTGCCGCTACCCGACAGATGCGAATATTAACAAAGATGGCGCAGGTACCACGCAGTGGTCTGTCCAAAAAGGTACGTTGATGGAATTCACTATACAGTATAGTGTCTGCTCTTTATAATGATTGAGGGATTTAGGCGGATGGTTGGGCACAGTGAGCTTGTATGAGCTATGAGAACAGCAACTTTTAAACAAAGCGTTCACAAGGAGAAATGTATGAGGTGCCCCCAGGGACATAAATCAGAATTAACTTGCATATACACATATCAAATTTAACTCTTCTATATAATATACTGATACACGTGCATAAACACTAGTGAAAAGCTGTCACATAAACTAGTGTATAACCTACTGAAAACCTCACACAAACACTAGTAAAAAGCTCTCACATAAACTTCTCAGCTTTGTGGAGAATGTTAATATGGGGACTGAAGCAGGTTAATGAAATTCTCTTTTTGAAGTGGAAAACTCAGACCTTCCCATATTTCAGGTTTAGAAATCTTAGAGTTTTTAGTAAACCCGCTTTGTGAAACGGACCTCAGGTGAGTGAATACTGCAGAGTATCTTAGTCTGCTGGGAGGGATGGGTCTAAAACAGCTGGCTGCAGAACAACTCGGTAGCTTGAAGTTGTCTCAGTGTTTCCTATAATGAATAATGATAGTTATCCATTTGTTATCACTCATTGTGTTATTGCTTATATTCAAAACATCTTCTTCTTGGTTCAAGTACAACTTGCAGCCTTCGCGAAGGAAAAACTCTGTAACCCCTAAAAGAGACATATTCACTGTGTATTTACAGAGTCATTTGGTAATAAAGTCAAAGGGATATGTTTTGTAAACCACTTTCAAATGTTTATGGCCTTTTTCGGAAATGCAATGAAAGGGCAGTGTGTGGCAGCAGTTAGACTGTGCTGCTGTGACTTGACATTTTGTGGGATGAGTCACTTTGAAAACGTACTGGAGTACTCTTCTCCCCGGGCCTGGACAGTGGGGGTGAATTAAGCCAGAAGATGAGAGGGACGGAATAGTCTGAGAGTTTGGGAAAAGGTGGTGCGGAGGTGGATGAAAGTTAATCTGGAGAGAAGCTGGCCAGAAGCCAAGTCAAGGGGATCTTCAAACACGACTGGCTGGGGTCCCAACGTTGACTGGCTTAACCTGAATGAATGACATCAGCAGGTGATCCATTTGAGGCTGATAATAGTCTTCAACATGGAATTTTAGCTTATGTTTTATGTCTATGAGGGAAAGGTTTTGAGAAGAAAATAGGAATTTGTAGAATCTAAATGCATTAATTTGCATATTGAGCATCACAGCAGCAATAAAAAAAATCTTGATGTACAGGTTGTATGTAGGAAACAAAAACTGGAAATTCTGTTTTACAATTAGAGAAATTTACACTTACTTCCTTGCTAACGAAGATCAAATAGTATAAAACTCAAAGCAGAAGCATATTTACACAATTTATACTCTGTGATACTTAAAAGAAAGGAGGAAGAGTAATATTTCCTGCCTCGCTCACCTTTTTCTGCAGATATGTGCAAACTAGGTGTGTCATGATCGCAGCCCCGGTAGCTGATCTGATTACTCACTTCATTCATCTGCTGTTCCCTCCCAGTTCTCTAATTATCAATGATCTCATCCACCCGCTCCCTCTGCTATATATATGGTTTGGTCCAGCTATCAGGGCCAGATCATTGTTTGTGTATTCTTTCTTTTATTTGTGTGTTCCAATTTTCTCTGCGTATTCTTAGTTTATTCGTGTTATGTTTTTGTGTCAGTTATTCACGTTTGTTGAGTGATTACACTGAACAATTTTATTGGTTTCAAGAGTGCAGTATTATCTGTTTATTTTTGCTATTTAAACATTTAAAGTGTACATTTTCTTTGTTCAATTGTTCTGTTTGATTTTTCAATGTTTTCAATTATGGTGTTTAAATTTTCATGGTCTGGTTTTTAAACTTAATGCTCTTTGCAGAGTTCCAGCATTGATATATACAGGTCTTATTCAATTTTCATAAGTTTCACCTCATTAGAAAGCTTATTTTCAGGATCTGTAAATAATTGAAAACAGCACTGGATAGGCTTGGTTGCTACGGCCTGTGATATATGTAACATTATTTTTCTAAAATAAACAACTTGTAAAAAATAAAAATAAAACAAAGCTATGATAACACAAGGAGAAAGGCGTTGTTTTTGGGAAAGAGTACAAATTTCATCTCGACATTCATTCAAACAGGTTTTTTTTTATCTTCAATTTGCTCTTCTTTGTTCCTCTAGGCGTCTTTCCTTCAAAAAAATGTAACGCACAGTAGACCAGATCCTGTCCTCAGGCTGTGAAAAGAAATACATTTCATTTAAAATTATAGAAATCAAAGCCTTCAGTATCAAATTTACTGAAATAACACATTTGTGATGTTTTTTCTAATCACTACCTACAATTTCATCTCTTTGTTGGTTGAACTTTTTCCTCTCTTCTTCAGAGGAAGTTTCTGCACATTTAGAACAAACAGCAATATGTATTATTGATATAATTTAATTTGAAATAATTAATCACATGTCAGATGGCTCATATTTAAATGCAAAATATGAAGAGAGGTTTTTACTTTCTTCTATAAATACCAACATTTCAAGTAGAATAAAAATTTTATATTGTTCAGTAAAGAACACTTACCTTTGATGATTTGACCTGCTAAGTCGTGACTTTGGTAACAGATCAAAATTACATTTACAGTCAGAGAAAAGGTCATAATGGTTATTGTGATCAGCAGAATCGGAATTTTAAAAAGTGGTGTTTGACCTAGAAAAGAGAAAAAAGAAACATGAGCATCTGTAAGCCTTTGAAATATTCACTTATTATTGTGCATATTTCTCAATGTGTGTACATTACCTCCTTCCTTTCTGATTACATTTCCTAATAAGATTTCTCCACATGTAGCCACAGCACAGTAGTAAGTCCCAGGGTCAGAGGAGCTAATGTTCTTGGGGAAGTTATAGATACATTTTTGGGGGGTATTTGTACGTTTCTCACAGTTATCAGCTCTTTTACTATCAGTGTAGATGATATTTGGATAGGATCTGTTGGATCCAGCTTTGAACCAGAACATGCTGAGATCTTCTGAACAAGAATTGTTTTCTGACTCAGAGAGAACTGAACACTGCAGAGTCTCTGAGTCTTCTGGACCGGACGACTCTGAGGCTGTTGACTGCTGAACAACAGTGTAGCTGGATGTCTTCTTTGAGTTTCCTGAAATAATTACTATAAGGTTATATTTTAAAACTAAGTTGTTCAATATATAAAATGTAATGGACAGATTCACAAGGAAAAGAAATATTACATAGTGCCTTTGCCTTTGAAACTGAAGCAGTGAAAATTACACTGTTTCCAAGTAATTTAATATTTGCATGTATCAACATTTGCATGAATAATATTTTTGCATGTCTCATAGTAAGAGCATATCAAAAGGAATAAGACATTAAAAACAATGAATACATCAGAGGCACATATAATATTTTGCTATAGACCAGTGTAAACTAGTAAAACACATTTAATCTGTTTAATAGCTGATTCAGATGAAATTTTACATCCTTTAAAAACTTGTTAAATCCAATTGAAACTGTGCAATATAGGTGTAATATCAGATTGTAGTTTGAAATTTCAGGAGGAATTTTATTTCTTTAGTGATAAAAGATTTCAAAGCATTGTAATACTGAGGTCTCACATTACCTTTTACCATCAAATACGTCCCCATCCAAGTAAACTCTTTATAGTCTAAAAGAGCACAGTGATACATTCCCTCGTCTTGTCCAGCTGTCCTCAGAATTGTGAGGTTGCTTATTTTATCATCATTTGTAACTTTGAATCTTGAAGAAGGAAATTCTGGGCTATAATGGGGATCTAGGGTTTTTCTCTGCTTTACAATCATTTTCAGATTATCTCCAGAAGTTTGCTTGTACCAGTGAATCCATGCTGTGGACTCCTTATTTGCACAGGTAAAAGTTACAGGTTTGCCAAGCTGAACAGTGACCACAGGAACTAAGGCATCTGGGTTAGAGATAAAATCAAGGATCCAAATTAAATGTTAATGTCAAACTTAAAATAACTTCACACTTTAAAACAAAATGTACTTACATCCTTGATGAAGAATAAGGACTGTGATCCATAACAGAGACATGATGGCACTGACCTCATAAAGACCCTTGATGCTTTACTAACAGGAGTAGGTGTGGCGATCCAGCTCTAAAGTGCATCTAACAGGTTTCTCTCTTTTCAGAAAAAAACAGTGCCTCCTCCCACCTTAAAACCCTTTTTATTGAAATATCTGCTCTTTATCTTTATTTTTTAATTATCAATGATTTTAAGGACAAAATTCATGTTTTCATTTGACCTGACCTAGTTCTTTGATCAAGAAGCAATACTTAGCACAGATATCTTTTCTGATAGCGCCACTAACAGGTTCTTCAGTAATATTAAAAAAACCCAGGGGACTGATTTGAACTCTACCACAAATGTTCAGGTTTCCATACCATAAGCAGCTGCTAATATTTGACGAATGTGTGAAGTATGTACTGGGTGGAACACAGTTCATTTTAATTCCAAAAATAACACATAAAGATTACCAGAGCTCAATTATATAGGCAGATAGGTAAGGACTCCACCTTTATTTATATAGCCATTTTCATCCAAAAGCAGCGTGGTTATACAATGAATGCATACAAATACATAGAAGTTCTTAACAAGTTATAAGAGATACATAAAAGTGAATTAAAAATAAGCCTTTTAAATTACATTAGTTCATAAAACAAAAATGTTTTAACCTTGTATGAAAAGAGCTTTGGGTTGCGGCAGTTCTACAGCGTACAGGAAGCTTTATTTGGATTGTTGCAGCAACAAATCTGAAGGCTGCTTCAGTGTCTTTAATGAGTCTTGAAATGGTGAGTACTGTGAGTTTGACTCTGATGATCTTCAAGGTCTTTATGGTTTTTAGCATTCAAGAAGTTCAGAGATGTAATGAGGGCTCTGACTAGTGAGTGCCTTATAAAGACCTTAGAACTGGACAGATGTGCTGGTCTGTTCTTTTTATAAGAACTAGCTTCTACAGTTTTAAGAAGTTGGACTCTCTGATTCTCAGTCTGATGATAAAAAGCTATGAACTTATTTTTTAAGGATCCTGACATCTGTTGTGTAACTTTAGCAAAAACATTGAAATAATAATGAATTTAATCTAGTTATCATGATTTATATCTGAATCAATGATCATCCCAAGGTTTCTACCCATATCAGAGGTCTGCAGGAAAAGAGACTGAACTGAAGAAAACGTTTTATCTAGTGAAGAGGTTAGAGAAATAATAACTTATCCAGAAGAGAAACCAATAGAAAATATAGAACAAATGAAGGTCCTGGCTGAGAGATAAACAATCCTAGATAAACAACCCGGAATTTACTAAAGAATCCAACAAACCAAAATAACGAGTTAGGGCTGAACCAACTAAACATTCTGAGAAATAAGCAAGAGGAATTATCCAGAAAACAGCTGTCATTGATAAAACAATCCACGCTAACATAGGAAGCTAATGATAAAAATACCTCGATATGGCAAGACCCTAAACTCAAAACAAAAAAAAACAATGGAGTTCATGGATATAGCATAGATGAACACAAAAATAATTAAAATAATATGCTAAACAATAAAATTGTGGAAAACATGAACTCCCGGGAAACCAAAACTAGTCTTTAAGATAATGACGAGTAGTCTTCACGGCCTGTTGAAAGAATTTAGAAGAAACTGTTTCATTTCATAGCTATTTATTTCAATCAAATCTATAGAATAAAATAAAAAAACAAAAGAAAATAAATATTGAGACAGTAGTCTTACAATCCAGAGGAAAGTGACCCATTAAGTACTAGAAAACCGAGCACAAGAGTTATTGGCAGTTTTAAAAATGTTATTTGAGATGAAGATCCTTCTTGCATTTCTTAATTCATGATTAAATATTCCAAGTTTGAGTTTATAGATTTTAAGTTAAGCTCGTAAATTACTTTTGTGCCACCAGTATTCACCTTTTCAATTTATTTATTTTTTCTCACGGACTCAAATTTTCTCCAATGTGGTTTATGTTTTCTGTAAATTGTTTATATTGCATTGACAGCAATGGTGTCAACAGCATTTTCAACTTTACACAAAAAAAATATGCATAGAGTCCATCTTAAAAGTACCCATACAGCACAGGTAGCCTCTGGATCTCTGGAGTCCATATTAGACTCAGGGTAGTTTAACAGTCATTACTTAGATAATGCTTAGGTAAGTAAGCATTTCACATGATGAACATTAAACAAGTAGGAGACCTACCTACCGCTAATGAAGCACCTGTTGCAGACACAGATGTTAGCAGACTTCGCTCATCCAAATCACAGGTGGATTTAAAGTAAACTTTTCTCATCTTTGTGATTTGAAGATTTTAGCTTTTTCAGTATAACGAACATAGCGCTTGGCACTCAATAATAACCATTTACTTTTTTAAAACAATTGAAGTAGCTAGAAAGAGCACAAAACATTTTTTTTTATTTAGCAAGTCCATAGCTACTTTACTTCCTACCCTCTTATATATATATATATATATATATATATATATATATATATATATATATATATATATATATATATATATATATATATATATATATATATATATATATATATATATTGCCCTCAACTCTCCACACTTCTCCAACCCCCAGCCCACTAGAGACCTACCCTCCCCCCACCAATACTCTCACCAACCTCCGACCTATTCACATCTTCGGTCATGCTTTCCTCCCCCGTCACAGTCACTTCAATGCAGGTGAGAGGCCAGCTGATGAGGTTGAAAGAGACAAAGCCTCAGGACCGGATGGCATCCCCCTAAAGGCTGCTGGGGACCTTTGCAGATTATCTCTGTGAGGTCCTCAGCTAAGGCCCCGTCCACACGAAGTCAAAACGAACACGAAACCCTAATATTTTTCAAGACGGAGACATAAAATAAATGTGATCGTCCACACGAATGCGTGAAAAAGCTGCAAAATGTATGCCAGGCATGTAAGTGGCGCTGTGGTGCCAAAGCAAAAATAGGCGACGAAATGTTGGGCATGCGCACTAATATTTATACATGGTTGCCCTGCTGGTCCATTTTCGTGGTTGAGTCAAATTCAGGTGCTGAACTATGTCGTCTATATTGCTCTGTTCTTCCTGGAGATATTCCAGAAGAAGAAGATTCTGTTGTAAGCCCGACAGCAGGGTGAGTAGCATGAGCAGCAACCATTCAACACAGTACGGCGCCATTGTTGTTGTGATACTGTGTCGCGCATGCGTGTTTAGAGGCGACGCTATGACGCATGCGTGTAAAAAAAAATGCGGTTAGAGCTTAAAGATGGAAACACGAAAACGGCGTTTCAAAATCTTCCCACTCTGAAGGCTTAATAAAAAAAAGATCGTTTACAGACCCCCGAAACGCCGGCTTCGTATGGATGAGAGGCTGGTTTGGTGAAAAATTTGTGCGTTTAGGCCAGGGTTTGTCTTCGTGTGCCTGTCAGAGGTGGCAGTCTTCATTAATGGGGCTCCCACCATTTGGTCTCAGTTTCTCTTAACCCTCTACATCTCGGACTTCACTTACAATACAAACAGCTGTCATTTTCAGAAGTTCTCAGATGAATTGGCCGTTGTGGGCTTTGTGTCATAGGGGAACAAGCTGGAGTACCGGTTGGTAATCATGAACTTTGTGGACTGGTGTGAGAAGAACCACCTGTGTCTTAACACCAGTAAGACCAAGGAGATGGTGATCAACTTCAGGAGAAGCCCTCACCTCACTCCCACATGAACATTCAGGGGCAGGACACAGAAACTGTGGAGAGTTTCAAATACCTGGGTGTTCACATCAAAAATAAACTGGACTGGACTCATAACACCAACGCCCTGTACAAGAAGGACCAGAGCCGGCTCCACCTCCTCAGGAGACTCGGGTCCTTTGGAGTGAGGCCTCTGCTTAAAACCTGAAAAAGTTTATAGTGAAACCTTCTCTGTGGGGGCCTCAGCCCTCCACTACACTGTTGTTTGCTGGGCCCCTGACAGGGCAGATTGGGATAGAAAGAGAGTGAATAAACCAGTGAGAAGGGCCACTTCTGGCATGGGCTGCACTCTGAACTCGGTGGAGGAAGTGGCTGAGAGGAGGGTGTTGTCTAAACTTACATCCATCATGAAAACACCTCTCACCCCCTGCACCAGACTGTAGAGGAGCTGAGCAGACTTACATACGCTGTTTGTAAAAAGGAGTGCTACCGCAGGTCATTCATCCCTGCTGCCATCAGAATTTACAATGTGGCATTATAACTGCAATAATTTGTGCAATAACTAATGTGCAATCACTATTTAATACAATGATACCATCTGTAATAACCTGTGCAATAATCCTGTTAAATAAGAGGCTTCCACTGTTATATATACATATGCAGACACTCTGTATATACCCAATGCACCTTTTCCTCCTTTTGACACCTTCTTTTGACTAATGAACCCGTGTCACAAGTGAATTTCTCCATTGTGAAATCATCTTATCTTATTTTAATAATACATTTTATGTAGTTATTAAGATTTATATCTGAATCGATGATCATCCCAACATTTCTAGCCATTTCAAAGGTTTGCAGGCAAACAGACTGAAGATGGGCACTGATTTTATAATCTATGCAATTTTGGTTCAAGAACTAAAACTCCTGTTTTATCTTTATTCGACTGAAGAAAACTTTTTATCCAGAGAAGAGGTTAGAGAAATAAAACCTTCAATAGAGGAGAAACCAAGTTCAAATGATAGAACAAATAAAGGTTCTTGCTGTGAGAAAAACTAAGAAAAGCTAAGAGTTAGAACTAAAATACTAAAAATTCAAAGAAATAGGCAAGAACAATTAACTGTAAAACTTCTGGCATTCACAAAACAAAGCGAGGTAATATGGAAAACTTCCAATGATAAAAATACCAGAATATGACACGACATTAAAGCCAAAGCTGAAACCACACAATGGAGTGAACAGGTATAGAAAATGAAACAACAGAAATAATAAAAGTAATATGCAAAACAATAAAAAACTGTGAAACAGGAAGTCAGGAAGGTGTATTAATTTCATAGCTATTTATTTCAAACAATCAATAGAAGTAAAAAGAAAAAAAAAAGAAATAAAACACCAAATAAATAATTAGACAGTAGTTTTACAATCCAAAGGAAAGTGACCCATATATTTTTAGAAAACTGAGCACCAGAGTTATTGGCAGATTTCTAAATTATATTTGAGATAAAGCTCCTTAAAGTATTTCTCAATTCATGATTAAATGTTCAAAGTTTGAGTTTATAGATATTAAGTTTAGTTTCTGAATTACTTTTGTGGTAATTCACCTTTTCAACATTCAATTTTTTTTTATCTGACGGACTCAAATTTTCTCCAAGGTGGTTTACGTTTTCTGGAAATTAGTTAAATTGCATTGAGAACATAGGTGTCAACAGCATTTTCAATTTTAAACCTAAATTAATCTACTAATTTATTGAAAAAAGTCCATGGAGTCCAGCTTTAAAGTATGGCAATGTATCACTATTTAGTCACTTGGTGGGTCCAGAACCTCAGTACCACATGGCCTGTGATAATTATAGCCTGATATTCTCCAAGCTATGTGTTAGTTTAAATATTATAGTTTGATATAACTGTTGGAGTTTTGTCTCCATAATGTTACCCATAGAGCTCAGGTAGCCTTACTTATGGTAGTTTAACAGTACTATTACTACAGTACTAGAGTACTAACAGTACTACTACATAGATAATGTTTATGTAAGTAAGCATTTGACAACATGATGTTACTAACATGATAAAACAACCTGCTGCAGACACAGATGTTAGCAGACTCTGCTCATCCAAGTCACAGGTGGTTTTTAAGTAAACATGTTTTCATTTTTGTGATGTGAGGTTTTTTATCCCTTTTCAGTATAAAGAACAATAGCCCTTGGCAGTCGATAATAACCAATTTCTTTGATAAAACAACTGAAGTAGCCATAAGCAGCATAAGGCATTTTTTTTTTAATTAGCAGGTCCATAGCTACTGTACTTCCTGCCCTCCTATGTCTGCCTGAGGTGAGTCATCAAGTCAAAACAACCTACTGAATAATCCCAACAGCCTCCCTTTAAAAATCATCAATTTTGGGCTGTTAAATTTTAACAAGAGAATATGACCATTTCGGTCACAGTTGTCTTATGACCAGTGGCGGCCGGCCCATAGGGGGCGCTGGGGCACCGCCCTCCCTGATAAGAAGAGAGAAACGTAAAATATATTTTCAGAAATTAACTCATAAATGTCAGTTTTACTCTCTAGAGTGTTTACATATAAGCAAAACAAATTATATAAACTACATTTCCCTATCTACTGTCATTAATTTGTGGATTTCCACAGACAGACTCCTACCGTCTCTGTTCTGGGGCGCTGATCAGACTGACCCACATTTGCAGAGAATCTGTCAATCATGTACTATTGCTAGGTGAATTTAATGGCCAATCAGCGTCTCGGAACTTTATGGTCTTGGGGCGCTGAAAATACTGCACTTTAACAGGCTTCTGAACCCAAGCGCAGGTGCAGACAATTAAAGGGAAGATGGCGAATGTAATGAACGAGAAGCAGCTTCCACCAAATTCGGTGAGATCCTTATTTATCTACCCGTTTGCCAGAAGAACATCCCTGTTGTAGGATATGAAAATTTCATGTCATGGTTATTGTGACTGTGACGAATCCACATCCTCTAACTTTGCGCGCCACACACAAATTCCTGTTATACTGTGTTTGTGAGGACCAATCCGCTCGCGCTGAGCCAAGTAGCTCCATTAACTTAAAACACACAAACTGTCCTGGTTACCTGCTGGCATATTGAGGGTGCACACTTAATATTTCAGTGGGGTTAGCCGTGGGTGTGTGGGGGGTGTGGGTGTGTACGTGTTTATGCTACGGGGACTTGTCATCTTCAGTCTGGCTGCGTCTTTGCTTCGTTCAAACCCAGTTTGGTGTAATTGAATAAGTCAATGAATCTGTGTAAAATAATTAAGTTGTAAAAATTATTTGTTTTTGTACATCAATTGTTTGTGGAGGTAATATATGGACAAAACTGATTAATGAGAAGAAATCAGAAATAAGGGCGCCTGAGGTGAGGGGCTTAAACTATTTAATGAGGGCTGTGGGAAGAAAAGCGGCAATTTTTGTTTTCTGTTTCTTTGTTACATTGCTGGTAACTGGAGGGAGGCTGAGGCCTAGAGTATCTTGTATATGTTTAGTTTCTTTTGCACCCTGTTTTGAGTTTTTGAGCACAATAAATCACCAACACCGGTAACCCGACTGAGCCTGGATTCTTGGAGGCCAAAGAACCCCGTCACAGTGACCCAAATCATCACTGTTACTGTTATTATATAGTAAATTAAATCATTACTGTTAAATTGTATGTATTGTCCAATTGTTTATTTGAATTCTTATTCCGGATTAGTTGGAGACATACACTAGGCTATATCAGCCCCACCAAAAATATTTTTCACCAGCCGCCACTGCTTATGACATATGTCATACACATTTTTTTAATTCAGTGCTGTAAATTATCTTTACATATAAAAACAGTGCACTTAGTTGAACAATAAAGCCTCTCTTGATAAGTGACGTAATGTATGTAAATGTGTTAAAAATAAAAACTTTTGTTACAACCACCTGGCTTCCAGTCTCAATTTAAAGAATCTTAAAAGCTTGTTTTCTCCCTAATCCTCATTTACCTTGAAATGCTCTTCTTTAGTTTTCCTAAGTTTGACATCATTGAAGACTCTTTTCTTTCAGGATCTATAAAAAACTGAAAATGGCCCTGTATAGATTTGGTTCTTGTTTTGCAATGGCACACATGTAACAATATTTAAAAATATATATATATATATAAAAAGGAAAGACTACTTTTTTAGAAAGAGTACAGGTTTCCTCTCAACATTCATTCAACCCGATGGTCTGACTTCTGAATACACCATTTCTTCAGTCTTCAATGCCCTCTTCTTTGTTCCTCTAGGTATGTTCCCTCCAGAAAAATGTAATGCAGAGTAAACCAGATCTTGTCCTTCATCAAGCTGTGCAGAGAAATGAATTTGATGTAAACTTATAGAAATGTTAAGCTTTAAAATCATCAAATTTACTCAAAAAATAGTTTTGTAATTTTTTTATCACTACCTACAATTTCATCTCTCTGTTGGTTCAAATTGTTGCGTTCTGCTTCTGAGGCGCTTTCTGTAAAATAAACAGTAACATGCGTTATTGATAACATTTTATTTGAGGTTGTTACTTTTTTCTGTACTGTCTTGAAATGTCAAGTATAATACAAAATTGCTATTGTTTGGTTAATAATACTTACGTTTGACTATTTGACATGCAAAAGCTTGAGTTCGATAAAAGATCAAAATCATATGTACGATCACAGAAACAGCCAAAACGATTATTGTGATCAACAGAATCATATTTTCAAAACAAAATCTTTGACCTAGAAAAGGGAAAAAAGTAACATGAGCATCTCCTAGCCATTTATTATTGTGATTATTTCTCAATGTGCGTATATTACCTCCTTCCTTTCTGATTACATTTCCTAATAAGATTTCTCCACATGTAGCCACAGCACAGTAGTAAGTCGCAGGATCAGAGGAGCTGATGTTCTTGGGGAAGTTATAGATACATTTTTTTCCGGTGTTTGGACTTTTCTCACAGTTATCAGCTCTTTTACTATCAGTGTAGATGATATTTGGATAGGGTCTGTTGGATCCAGCTTTGAACCAGAACATGCTGAGATCTTCTGAACATGAATTGTTCTCTGACTCAGAGAGAACTGAACACTGCAGAGTCTCTGAGTCTTCTGGACGTGACGACTCTGAGGCTGTTGACTGCTGAACAACAGTGTAGCTGGATGTCTTCTTTGAGTTTCCTGAAATAATTATAAGGTTATACTTTGAAACTATGATGTTTGATATATAAAATATAATAGACAGTTTAACAAGGAAAGGAAATATCACTTTTTGGTGCCTGAATAGTAAAATTGTCCTCTGTTGTTCGCCTGTCCCCAAGAGCGCAGGGTGCTGCCCAGTGGGGGCTGAAGAGCATTCTCGGGTTCAGGATCCAGACTAAAAGTTTAGTATCGAACCAGAGATCTTCAGGTCTCTATACAAAATGCAATGATCTGGCTATTTAACCACAAAAACCTCTTTGCTGCCTCTTTAAAAGATGTTAATTGGATGACTGAGTGTTTTTTATTAAAAACTCTAAATCTGCAGCAGTAAGAACACTTTTATTTGTAATTCAGTTTCAATTCAGTTTATTAATGTGGCGCCAATTCACAACACGTCATCTCAGGGCACTTTCAATTTCAATTCAACCAGATCATACAGTCAAATTGATTCAAAGTTTTCTATCTAAGGAAAATCAATTAATTGCATCGAGTCATTGACATTGAGGCAATCCCTCACACTAAACATGCTTGTAACGACAGTGGAGAGGAAAAACTCTTTTAACAGGCAGAAACCTCCATCAGAACCAGGCTCAGTGTGAGCGGCCATCTGCCAAAGCCGACTGAGGTTCAAGGAGACAGAAGCAGACACACAGAAAGAAGCAGAGAAACAAAAGGCAACTGTAAAAGGAAAGCCCCGTTCAGGAAACACACAGCCAAGCAGATGAGCTCCGAGCCAGCTCCATGACAGAGGATGAAGAGAGCACATCCACACAGTCACAGTTAGAGAAACAGGGCTACACTGAAAAACGGGCAGATCTCCAACACCTATAGCACCATAACTACAGAGATAGCATTGGATAACCTGAGCCACTATTAGCTTTTCCAGCTCGACTTGTTTACCATGGAGAGCAGAGCCTTCAGCCGCTCTGCTCCCCAGCTGTAGAACTCACTTCCTCCTGTCCTCCACAGTATTGTCTCTCTCCCCTTGTTCAAAACCAGACTCAAAACCCAACTGTTCCAGCTAGCTTATTACAAAATACACTGCTCTTGTCTCTATCCATAACTGTTTTTATGTTCCTGTATTTGTATTTTTGTATTCTTATTTTTATTCTCTGTAAAGTGACGTTGAGTGTCCAGAAAGGCACTGTTAAATAAAATGTATTATTATTACTATTATTATTATTTTTATTATTATTATTATTATCACTGGAAAAAATCGAAATCTAGATGAGTAATTTTTTCTTAAAATAAGTGCATTTTTTCTTGAATTGAGGAGGTAAAAGAGACATTTTGCCAATGGAACAAGACAATTTACACTTAAAATAAGAAAACACATTTGCATTGTCTTATATCAAGTGCATATTCTCTAATTATCTTATTTTAAGAGTAAAAATACTCATTCCATTGACAAACTATCTTATTTACCTACTTAGAATAAGGATAAATACACTTAATTTAAGAAATTTCTACTTATTTCTAGATCGTTTTTGCAGTTATTATTATTATTATCAAAAAGAAATTTTAAGCCTACCTTTAAAAGTAGACAGGGTGTCTGCCTCACAGACTATAACTGTTAGGTGGGTCCACAGTAGAGGAGCCTGATAAATAAAAGATCAGCCTCCCATTCTACTTTTAGAAATTCCAGGAACCAGTAGTAAACCTTAAGAGCAAAGTGCTCTGTTAGGAACAGAAGGAACAATCATATATCTGATGTAAGATGGAGCTTGGCCATTTAAGGCGTAATTACAATTGACGTTTATTAAGATGTACATGAATTGTTCATCTTTTTTCACATCTATCTCGTAGAAAGAGCATGTCGACAGGAAAAAGCAATTACCGTAATTAAAACAATAAATAACTCTCAGGCACCAATAATCTGTTGCTTAAATTAATTTCAAAATGATAAAACACTTTTTAATCCCTTTTAAGAGCTGACTTAGATAAATTAGACACCTGCTTAATTCAATTACAGTAGAACTCTGGCTATAAGAGTGTGCTCTTGCACTTTAACATTTTTTGGATTTTTTGTTTCTTGAGTAATAAAACATTTCAAAGCATTGCAATACTGATGTCTCACAATTACCTTTTACCATCAAATACGTCCCCATCCAAGTAGACTCTGCCCAGTCCATAATAGCACAGTGATACAATCCCTCGTCTTGTTCAAATGTCCTCAGAATGGTGAGGTTGCTTATTTTATCATCATTTGTTATTCTGAATCTTGAAGAAGGGAATTCTGGGCTAAAAGTGGGATCTTGGTTTTTTCTTTGTAATACAATCATTTTCAGAGTATCTCCAGAAGTTTGCTTGTACCAGTGAATCCATGCTGAGGTCATAAGTTTCTCCATAGCCGCACAGGTAAAAGTTACAGGTTCGCCAAGCTGAACAGTGACCACAGGAACTAAGGCATCTGGGTTAAAGATAAAATCAATGATCCACATAAAATTTTAATGCCAAACTGAAAATAGTTTCACACTGTAAAACAAAATGTACTTACATCCTTGATGAAGAATAAAGAGTGTGATCCATAACAGAGTCATGATGACACTGACTAGATAAAGACCCTTGATGCTCATCAATAGGAGTAGGTGTGGCGATCCAGCTCTAAAGTGCATCTAACTGTTTTTTCTTTTTTCAGAAAAAAACAAAGATACCTCCTCCCACAATGAGACCATGTTTATTGAAAGACCTGCTCTTTCTCTTTGTCTTGCAATTATCAATGAATTTAAGGCTAACATTCATGTTTTCTTTTGACCTGACATATTTTAAAACAACACTTTGCACAAATATCTTTTCTGACAGCGCCACCAACAGGTTCCTCAGTGATATTAAAATACTCAGAAGCCTGATTTGAACTCCACCTCAAATGTTCAGGTTTTTCGCATGATTCGCAGCTGATGTTTGAAGAATGTGTGAAGTGTCAATTTCTGAAAAAACCAATTGCTTGTCATTTCTTTTGTGACTCTCAAACTCGGTGTAAGAGCAAAAATAACAAATAAAGATTTCAAGAGCTCAATTACTGAGGCCCCTAGGCAAGGTACCCCGGCTTTATTTATTCAGCTATCTCAACCAAAAGCAGCTCAGCTTATACAAATGAATACAAATACAAAGAAGATCTTAAAAAGTTTTAAGAGATAATATATAAAATCAAAAGCATATTTTAAAAAGCAGTTTAAATTACATTAGTTCATAAAATAAAAATGTCTTAAACTTGATCTACAGTGTACAGGAAGCTTTATTTAGGTTTTAGCAGCATCAAATAAGAGCTAACAGAAAACAAATAATTAAAGTAACATACTAAAAACAATAACATACTGTAAAACATGTAGATGGCCCTTAAAGAAGATACAAAACTTATCTGATAATCCAACATTACATAAAACTAGTCCGTTTCAATTATTATGTCTAAAGTGTTTGTGTGACCACAATTTTGTAAGAGTTCTGTTATATGATTGAACAAATCAAGCTGTCAACAATCTAACATAGTCCTTTAACATGCCAATCCTATGGTTTATCATTAATAAAGTTAAAATCACCAAGAATGAAAACTGAATCAACTGATAACCAGTTGTCAACACTTGACAGTATTTCGGTATAGTCATCAAAGGAAGTTGTACAATATTTGGGATTTTGATAACAATGTCAGAAAGAATGAGTTTAATGGTAGAGCAACATATAAAAAAATTATAAAGCTAAGACTCATCTTACCTTAGTTTGGTTCGTTGATGCTGGTAACTAGCAGTCCGAGTTAATTGCGCACACACACAGAGGAGGAGAGGCGGAGTAGTTGAACACACGGGCCGGGGCTTTATTCGGCACGTTTCTGCTGCAGAGTGAAGCTTACTCACACCGACTGTATAGTTTTCAATGGCTGTAACTGGCATTTTTTCACACACACTTCACCGGTGAGAGGTCCACACACTTCTTTCCAGTGTACAGTAACTTTATTCACAAAATACAATATGGTTACCTGCTGACTACAACACAATCCTCCTGTCATGATCTTGACACTGATGTCTGGTCTGAACTCATTTCACACACCTGTTTATCTCCACCAATTTCTCATTCTTTTCATATCTGATCCACCTGCATTAGACTCTAATTAACCATTCTTCATACCAGTCATCAGTGCCAGATTATTTTCGAGCCATTGGTTTTCTGATTACCTAATCCTGACCTGTTCTGCCTCTCGACATCTGAGAGGTTCCCCCCAGCACCTCACTGGATCTTTGACCTCCTGGCTCTTACACCCAAGAACGTCCCCGACATCACCTTTGGCCTCGTCTGGGTTATCCTGCCTACGTTCATCTTCTCGGTTCTTATCTCCTGATCTCTGTCACTGATCTCTCTCATCTCTGTGAGTGACTGCTGCGTTGGTAGCCGACCAGCTGGGATCAACCTCACCCTCTGTGTTCAGATTGAACTAATTCGTTTCAACATGAAAAGCTCACATGAAGAAAGACGGCATTAGAAGAGTGTTATTGACACAATATATTTCTTTGGCACTCAGACCTTAGCGGGAAACAATTTACTGTGATTATATGCATGAGCTGAGGAATGAGAACAGAGATGATTCGCCCCATGTCAGAAAATGTTGGTGGAACTGAGACAGAGTGAAGATGAAAGCCAGCTGGAGCATATGTGAAAGTTTGTATGAACCTCCCAAATGAGCAAGCATGAAGTAACAGCAGAGAGAAAAAAACTCCCTTTCTTTGGCTGAACCAGAATTAATGTGGTGGTCTCTGTCGGACCGATTGGGGATGCCTTGTGAATGCAGATTCCAGAGCAGTGTTTTCATCAACAACGAGGATGACGAAATTATTTTGTTGACAATACTGAAAACTGACGAGCTAAACATGGATCTTTGATGACTAAAATATCACTAGTCATAGGTGTGAGTTTTGGTCAACGAGACCAAATAAAAACTAGCGGGTGGTCGTTCAGACATTTAAAATGCATTATTGTGCTGTAATCTGTTAAACAAGTTAAGCAGTTTCAGCTGTACTGCTGCATCTTGTTTGGTCCCGCCTTCCACCTGGCGTGCAGCGGTGCAGATTCTGCTTGACCACAGATGGATCATGGCAGCAACGGCACGGGAGGATGTAATCTGAAATGGTGGAATTCCAACAAATTCTGATCTTCTAGCTGTGCAGACATGCGTGTTTGCATGCGCATAGCTCTGCGTCTGCACTTTACACTCCAAATGGTAGAGAAGGGGATGGAGCAGGGTTAAATCAAGGCCACCATAGTCAAAACCTGACATGTAATCCAAGTGTGCAGGAGCTTGGTTGTGTAGCAGGCTGAGGTGTAGATTTGAAAGTCTTTTAAGCTGAATTTTAATTACTGATTGGACTTCAAGGAGGTGTGGTCCAATTGTTATTTGCTTGGTTTGAAGATGGATAAGCCTCTGATTCAATACAGGTAGCTGATTCAGTTTATTCAGTTCAACTTCCACCTATGTTCATAACAATTTTTCTCCCAGAGATTTAATCTCTAAAAGGGTTAACTTTAATATGCAAATTGGAATCTAGTGAATGGGATTATGTACTAATTGTGCTCTGTTTCTGTATTTTTTTTTCTTTTGTTCTATTATTTATTAGAATTAACTCCAAAGGCATTACGACTAAGTTTGACTGGAGAACAATCGTATGTATCAATACAGTATTGCACTTTCCTAATAATGGAGTCATTGATAATCAGAACTAAGGGTGAAGACAGTGGCTGACAACTAGGAGACTTTCCAGCATTCAGCATTGTGAGCGTCAGATGAAACTTCACCTTACTCTTGTCTTACCTTGCTATATTGAGCCCCTCTATTTCTGCCAATATTATCTATTGTTTGAATAAACATCTAATGGTCAGATCATTTAAATACTCATTGCAAATCTGGCATTGCTCTTTACAATCTTCTTTTTTAATGCACCACCTAGTATTACCAAAAGAAATAAAAATAACCTTATATGCATTTTATTTAAAGTCAAAGTGTGATAGAGTTTTTTTGTCCAACTGTGTATAAAATAACCTGTAGCTTTGATAAATAAAAATGACAAATTAATTGGTATAAAACAGACATATAAATCGGATAACTAACAAAATATCAAAAATGTTCCTAAATAATCAAAATTAAAAGTTGCCAGAAAAAGAAAGGTAATTACTGTACATCAAATTTGAATTTGAATATTTATCTCTTAATACTATGTCATTGTACATAACTACATGGAAAAGCTCCATTTGAGAACATAAACTACCAATACCAGCACATATCAATTATATTAAAGATTGTTTTCTTATTGCTCCAACCACTCCTTAAACATTTGCTTACCAGCTTTTCTGTTTGCGATCCAAAACTTTAATATTTCATCTTGAAGTCAGTGTGACAGCCAGGTGTTTTGCTAAAAAAGTAAACGTGTCATACATTTCTTGCAGTTTTATCCAGAGAGGATCATTCCATAATTGTTTTCTGTAAAACTATGGGTGTCATCAGTAAGGTTTGCTTTCTACAACCCGGCATACACTGTAGGATGTAGCTGTAGCTGCAACCATTGCATGCAGCTACAGCTCACACTGTACTACAAAACGGCAGGGTTTCGTCATACAATGTGAGTTTACAGCTCATGATGTATGTTCTCAAAGTGTGAGGCCCGACGCTCTGATGCGATCTACCTGCTTACACTGTACGTCTAAAAACCACATCAGTCACGATCAGTCTAATTAATGGAATCCAAAGAGCTCAGTTTGCCCAAAATCTCCCACTGGACTCCTTAATAGCAAATTGGCAATAAGCAAATAAGCAATTAACAACTACCTACTGGTAAATGTAACCAACATAAAACAAGTAAGAGAACTACCTACCATTAATGAAGTAGCCATTGCAGACAGAGATGTTACTGGACTTCGCTCCTGATTCCAGCCATATTTATAATCCACTTCTTTCAGCTTTGTTATTTTAGGTTTATACCTATTTCTATGTAACAAACAATAGGCTTTGGTACTCGTTAATAACCTTTTTCTTTCATTAAGCGATTGAAGCAGCGATAAACAGCATAAAAGACGCATTTTTACTTTACATAACAGATTCATAGCTATTGCATTTCCTGCCCCTAATTTGCAATGTGATGTCAAGTATAGACAACTACTAAATTTTACCAATGTACCCTTTCATCCTCACTTGACTGACTTTAGATTTTTAACAATGAAAGATGTGAATTTTGGGCAATAATTTTCTTTTTGCATGTCCTTAATCGTGAAATGCAATGTTAAAATTATGTCAAATTTTTCTGTAATAATATGTTTTTCCACCATTTTTTCATTTGATGCCAAAGCATGTTACATGCACCTAAAACAAATAGGCTGAAATGAAAATATCTGAGGGTGTTATTTAATTTATTCTCTTATATTTCTGCTTTTATGAACCTCTTTACCCTGGTCTTTCCTGGCCTTTGTTATTTTTAGGAAGAAGCTATTCTCATTTGCCCTGCCAAACATAAAAAATACAATATTTTACAACACAATCAGTTGTTCTACCTGTTGCATTCGAGTCTTTAATACAATCTTTACTGTTATTTATTTTCTCTCTAGAGGAAAAGGTTTTAATTTGATCTCTTAAAACACTATCTGGATCTTTCTTGGACTAGTGCTATTATTACAGTTACAAGTAATTTAAAACATAAAATGCTTATTTTGTTTTAACTCTAGTCATTTTATAGACACTTTGTCTACGTTGAAAGCTGGACTGTAGGAGAATGCTCAAAATTGTGATCTAAAGAATATGTTTACCTATTTCAGGATTAAGCATATCTATTTTGGCTGACATAAAAGAGCAGATATTTTCACTTGAGAGGCAGATTATATACTGTTTATCTTTGTTGATTATTTAACTCTAACTTGAGCTTACTTTTGTGGACTGAGCATTCAGTCCAGAAAAAGTTCAATGGAACAGGAAGTAAAAACTGTTCCTCAGAGTTAGCCAAAACACATAAGGTGGTATTTGGTGTGCTTATAGTCATGTGTGCACAGGGATGTGTAGCTCCCATAGGTAAGAGATGCCCAATAACCATTTGCTCAACAAAATAACAAAACAAAAAAAAGGTACCGGTAGTCAAAACTTGTCTGAACATCAAAACACAACAAATAGAAAAATACAAGAACATCAATATTTACGGGCAATTAAAGGATTACAAATATACATCATGGCTGAGGAGAGACAGATAGAAACAAGAATTAATGGCATCAGAGCACTTGATACATTTAGATATGATTACCAGCTTAGAATCTGAAATAAGGTAGGATTAGTTAATGTCTAAATGTCTGTCTGAAGCCATGTTACATAGAAAAAGGGGTTGCAGAACCCGCATACTGAAGCAGTAGCGGGAAAAAAGTATTCAACTATTTACTCCAGTTTAATAAATGGAGATTGATGGATTTGACTCAGTGGGCATTTATTTTATATTTATACAAAGAGAGAACAGTTCATCCTACGGCCCTTTTTGCACAGTAATCAGCCCTGTTCTGATCTAGAAAGAGTGAGTTCCCCTTACTTACAATAATGGAAATTATTCAGAGTCAAAACAAATTACAGACACTTTGATTAAACAGTACCATGTTATGAATAAACCTTGAGAAAGAATCTGGTATTTTATGGGAAGAAGGTTTGTCTTGTCTAAAAACATCCTCATGCAGGGGAATCGTGTGTCTTTGCAGGTGAAACTGGCTGAGTGAATACTTTTATAGTGAGTAAATACCATAAATTAATAAATGAAATAAGAGAAACAAAATTTTCCAACCACAATCATTAATTAGTTTTAAATCTTGTTTTTATTTACCTATTAATAATCTAAACTTCCAGTGGTAGTTATTTAATATATTCATATTTTTCTTTTAAATTTCGCAACACTGTCTAAAAAGCTGCTAAATGTCAGTAATATTTTCAGAAATGCATTAGTTATTTTTTTAAAGCACAGAAAACACAGTGCAGTGATTTTATTCATTTATTTATCCATTAACATATATTTATTTATTGTACAATTAAGGAGGAACCGTCTGTAAAAGGGCAAACTGTGCAGCTATACAACTTATAATCAGGGAATTAGGGAATTTTATTCTACAATCAATTGGAATAAAACGTATAATAACATATATCCAGTTTAAAAAATTAAAAAATCTACCATGCTAAACTATATAACAAAGACGGTTAAAGGAAGTTGTTACCATCCACATTGCACCAAATATAGTATTTGGTCTTTCCCTTAAAGTTCATATTTTAATCATCATCAACCATAGAGAAGTAAAACGCTTGTCATTATATCATATGATTTAAGATGATCCCTTTTGATGAGCACTGTCTTTAATGGAGAATTTAATGTTTGAATAAGTGCAGTCGTCAGATGTCTCCCTCTTATTCTTCCATCTCGTAGGTTTTCTTGCGGAGAAATATAGTGCAGCATAGTTCATCCCATCCTCTTCACTTTCCTGCTAAATTTGTTAGACATACCATTTAGTTGGATAACCAAAAATAAAATAAAAATTTAGAGTATAATGTGTATCTAAGAATAACAAAGATGCACAATTTAATCTTAAACAAGTTAACTAAAATAACTTGTTTTTGGTTTTTGTGGAAATGCAATGAGAGATATTTCTGATGCCCTAGATGGAAAACGTTTAACCAGTCTGTCTGTATGACTCTAATGAAGTGTCTCTGTTAATGACATGTTGAGAATTAGTCCTATATAAATGGACTGAATTCAATACTTTTAATAAAAGTAATAAGCAACTGCTATAGGTGATGATTTAATCAGTGACTGTGTTTTCCCACAATAGTGTAGATCTCTTTTTTAATATGATTTCACTTTTATCTGAAGCTTATTTACTATAACAATGCTTTGAAGAAGATTTATTAGTTTGTGATTCATCTATATTTTCTTATAGTTTTTAGTTCCTTCCACATTGCTATTTTCTGCTTCTTTATACACAGTTTGCAGCCCTATTTGATTGACTGAGCCATTTATGACTTTATTAGTCTGTCCTCCATATGTTCTTTTTCCCATAGATAGTTTGACAATAACCTTCTATTTGTTTTACTTCTGTTTCACCTTCAATGAAAAAACATGGGAAAAACATGGAGAGTTATTGTTGTCAATAGTGACAGTCAGTCTTTGTTTTCTTTGCCCAAAGGAAGTGCTCCTTAGTCATAGTTTTCCTTTTTGCTTAGCTTTTTTTTTTTCACATAAAGTTATTAAACTGTACTGTTTATTTCTTTCCTGAAGAGTAATCTTTAAGTAGAAAGCCACTTATCTGGAGCAGTTTATCTTCACTGTCTCCATATGTTTGCTTATGAAGAGGGATTACCGCAAATAGAGTATAATGGGTTTCCATTGGTGATCTATGGAAATACATGATAAATCTACCTATGGTGGGGGGATAGTGTTTTACCAGTTGCCATCGGCTGAATTTACTATTGAAATATGTTCATTTAAAGGGCCTCAATTGTCCAGCATCTATTTTATAGGGTTTTAATTCTATTAAGTTTTTCCTTCCAAAATCATAACCTAAGAGCTATTTGTTTGATTCATTCATTTTTTAAGTGATCTTTGTGCATTCTGCTCTCTGAACAACAGCCCTTTCTGTTTTTGACAGTGATTTGAAAACAATTTGGTGTCAAACAATGATCATCCACCCCCTGCAGGAAGCACCTAACTTACCTGCATTCTCTCTTTCCAGTAAAAACATGCCCAAAACTACTTGTGCGTGAGACCCAGACATTGTTGTATGTTGCATTATCTTTAGGGCGATGTCATGAAAGGGACCCACACAGAAAAACGTTATATTTTAGTGAAGAGAAGAGTCTTTGTTTAACCAGGGTTCGAAAAATAGCTCCAGAAAAAAACATGCAATATTCCATAACAAATAAATCCACTGCAGTGCCAATGACGATATATGATCATAAATTTGGCAATAGTTGGCTTTGGAAGACTTAAAAAAGCATTACACGGAATATCTAAGTTATATGATTGGATCGTCCAAAAAGAAAGTGCATTGTATAAAGTAGAATTTGGAATGAATGCAATCCCAGATCTGAAGTGGTTAAAGTCTTGTGACTTCAATGCAGATGACCCAAGTTTGAATCCCATGTGCATCAAGAAAGGCATCTGTCTTAAAGAATTTTGATAAATCATTATATTTGCTCTACATGGCAAATTTCCAAATCCCCTTAAATAGAACTCAACTCAGTGCTCTGCTGCATTTTGCACTGCTAAGAACCTTGCACCATGTCTTTACACTGGTTTTCCTTTTCTCCTATACTGTTTACATTTTGATCACTGAAGCACTTTGTAAAACGGAAATGTTAATTTCACTGCTAAGCTGCTCATTCATTGTTGGAAAGTACAAAACAATAAATATGTCATTTGACATCCCTAGCAGCCAATATGTTCTATAGTCAATGGACATAATGTGAATGAATTAATGCATTTTAATTCGGGAACCATTTCTGCAATGTTGCATTTTATTTTGAAGTGAATTTGACTGGCGGCATTTGTCACCAAGACTTGTAGTGATTAGTCATCAAGTCTAGTGGCAACTGACATTGCAATACCTCATGGCAAATGGACCGGCCATGCCTTGTGGCAACTTGTGTTGCCATAGTGTTTGATGACTATCATTGCTGGGTTAACTTTACAGTCAATGTACTGTAGCTACAGTTCAATGTTTTTCAAGCATTTTTAATTTTTTTAAACACACTGTATTGCTATTATAAGGTGAATTGATGCTTTATTACTACAAACAGGGAGGCATTCTATTTTGAAATATTCAGTAGAGTATGTTCCTAAAAGGCCATGATAGTTTAATTTACAAAACTGCCTCAATTTGGCTCATAATAATAATGATGCTTTAATAAATTGCTGAGTTTACATTAAGGCTTTTATTATTTTACAGTACTTTATGTCTTATTTTGAAAGTCTTCAATGGGGTGTCTTAAGTTAGAGGAAATTGATTCTGAAATCACACTATATCACTTTTATCAAAATAATATATTCTTTTTTACTATTAATCCTATCCTCTTATTTTGAAATCTTCAGCAGGACCTGTCCTTGAGAGGCCTTGGTAGCCGAATTTTTAAAACAGCTTGAGTTTTAGTCATAAAGTTAAGTTGTATGCTGTAATTAATATATGCGTATAATGTAAGGGCTTTAAATTCGTAGAGTACCCATTGTCTTATTTTGAAAGTCTGTGTGTTAAGAAAAGGATCAGACATTTTAGTGATATGGCATCCATTTTCAGTTGTTAAATCCCTCTTGTACCATATTATTAGATAAATAGATGATTGAAGACTTGAACTTTATTGATTTCACACTGGAGAAATTTACCTTATCATTTCACCCTTCTCCTTGGGGAGCAGTGGGCTGCCATTTTGGGGAGCAGTGACCTGCAATTGTGTGGAGCCCGTGGAGCAGTGTTGGGTCAAGGGTCTTTCTTAAAGATCAGGCTGTGGGGATCGAATTGAGTACTTGCAACCTTCTCAGAGCATAAGCTCACTGCTCTAACCACTAGACCAACACTCCCCCCCTTTAATAATTAGAAGTAGTAGTAGTATTGTAGTATTAGTAGTTGTAGTGATAGTGGTAATGTACTGGTAGTAGTAGAATTTGTAGACAAAATTAAGCAGTGACCAGTAAAGATAATGTTACAGAGAAATCTATCAGCAAACCAAATGCTCAACGCCAGTTGTCAATAAACACTTAAAAGCTATGGGACCAAGCTAAACAAAAACAGACTACTCTTAAAATTCAAACGTCGAGTTAAACCCTATATGGAAAAAAAAAATTACATAAAAGGGGTTTGTTACCACATCTGTGTGGCTGTAAAATTTCCTTTCTTAGTTAGGCTGCTAGTGTGTAGTTAATAAGCAGTTCTTAGCATGAGTCCACTATGTTATTTCCTTCTAAATTTAGTGAAGAGGGTGAAAAAAACAATTTTAAAAGCCTTCTGGCACACTTTTACAAACCAGAGTATAAGTACTTTTAACACTTGGTTCCTTCTGTTGGTATTATATATATTTACTGTAACTTAAAGTCGTAGGGAAACGGCTGTTCCAACTGCTGCATTTCTGTATTCTCCCGAGTGGTGCCCGACTTTACACAAGTGAATAAAGTGAATGTGATAGGTAATTTATCAAGGGGGCGGGATTGTTCTGGTGGAAGGTTTGCAAGCAAGTTGGATTGTGGCCGGTTTCTTGGAAGCATCTTGCTAAACAGTTAGCAACTTAGTGCTAGTAGGTTCCCAAGGGTAAATTGCATTGGGACCAAGTAGCCCTAAATTGGTGGTTTAGAAATGACACTCCCAAGGAACGCTATGGACAGCAAAAACATGCAAAGGGGGGGGGGGGGGGGGGGGGTTTGTGTCGGAGGTCGTGGATCAGTCTCCTCCGTCGTACATTTTTTATTTAGAGGAGGAAAGCGGTGATGAAGATGTTGTGGAAGAGGACACCAGGGCGGCAGAAGCTTGGTTTGATGTAGAAGGCTTACAGCCGTACATGTTTGAGCCCTTGCCTTGCAACGCTGCCAGTTCTGTTAGCATTACGCCTGCTGAAGACACAGACGCCCATCCCCGTGAACACAGGGATATAACTCAATGTGAAAGTTAATGATTCTTAATATAACCATTGCGTTTATTAGCTGTCATATGAATCAAGATGCTATGACCGAAAACATTTGATTGACAGATGACCTTTGATATATGATTGGCCGAATTTATGTGCACAAGCTGACAGGATTTTTTTTTAAAAAGAAATTTTCTAACTTTTGGGACAATATCATCTGATTAAGAGTAGATTTAGATAAATGTTTAAACCAGAATTATTTGACATTTAAATATGAATTCCCTACGACTTTAACAATGTGGTTTTCACTGAATGTTTTCTTCTTGATTTTATTTTAAAGAGTAAAACTGACCACAGGAAAATTAGGAAAAGCCATTAAAATCAAGTTTCAGAAATGTTATGCTTTGAATATTCTTAAAGTTGTTTTACCACATCATATGGTTGGTCCTCATCCAGTTCAGTATGAGCTGCGGCAATTATATCTCCTGTTCAAAGAACAAAGACATTAATTACAATAATCTTGCTTTTGACTATCAGATACTTAATAATCTCCTTATCTTCCATACAAGATTTTAACAGTAGAGAAAATTTATTGTGACTAAAAGTAAACAGATAATGTCACTGTTTCTTCCAATTTCTGTGATATAGAAAAGCTTATTGGTCTGAGTGTAGACCTACTGTATTAGATCAAATGGATTGGAAGGTTCTGGGAAAAAAATGTCCTTTATCACAGCCCTATACGTTGATTTGGTTCATTTAATTTTTGTTTAGATACCCATTAATATCAGATGTAACAACAATAGGCTTTATGTGCTATAAAAATGTGAAATTGGAGGGGCTAATTTCTAGAATAAACTCACCTTGGTGATTGTCATGAAGTTGCTTTGGCTTTTTCCTTGTAAAAATCAAAGCGAGGTTGACAAGTACAGAACAAGCCAAAAGTCCACAGAGCACAATAGCATACAGGCAAAATTCTTTTCCTAAAAGACAAAAGAAAAGACATTTATAACCTTAGACACTGAACTTTTATGTTTGCTGTTTGCATCATACATTTTACCATCACTCCGTGGTCTAAAGAAGCATAACAAGCTTAAATCTGAGTTACTCTCAATCACATTTAGCATTTTTAGAACCAAATACCTTAAACTATTTCCCTAAATACCAAACTACATCACTGTGGTATTTGTGTCCACATTTGCACTGTCATCATTTGGTGGGTATTTTTGGTTTCTGCTTAAATTTATCCTTTTTCAGTGGTTCTAAGAATTCTAATTAAGTTTATTTTCTCCACCTTTTTCCCGTAATCAGTTCTTTAATTCCTTCTGCCCCATGTGCTATTTATTTGGTCATGTTTGCTCCACTGGGTACGATGAAATATTGTTTTCATTCCATGCCAAGCTACAGAAAATAAATCTGTTGATCTCACTGAACCATCTGCTTCCTTTCTGCTCCCACATCTTGGTCCGCTTCACAACTGCATGCTTGTAATATCACACTGATAACTTTTCTTCAGATTTAAGTAAGAGGGAAACTTCACATGTAGAGATATTGTTTTACATGGAGCATGTGGCTCACAACCAAAGGAGGTATTGTTCTCTGATATTTGGAGAATACTTGAGTTTTTTTTAAATAATATCTTAGTTTATTTGTAAAACCTGCGAATTACACTTGCTGTAACTCATCAATTAATCATTTACTGTCAAGAAATTATTTGTGCTTCTAAAAACTTTAAGATAATTGTAACTTCAATGCTAAGGCTAGAAACTGCATGTTTTTAAAGCTTTGCATACTTGTCTCCACTTTGACTCCTTCTCCAAACAGGATCTCGCCACATGTAACCACGGCACAGTAATAAGTCCCAGTATCCAAGGGGTTTTTAACAGTTTTGGACAGCCGGTATTCACAGCTCCTCTCTTCTTGTTTCCTGCAGTGCTTTTTATCAGCATAGATGAATCCTGGATTAGATTCTGATTTTGCTCTAAACCAGAACACATTGTGTTCATCCGTGCACTGGTCCAGGCTTTTTTTTTCAGTCCTCTCAGAGAGGAGTGAACACTGCAGAGTCACGTCAGTACCAAGTGAAATAGACTTCACGTCCGAAGTTTGGTTCAGGTAGACAGACTTCTTATTTTGAGAATCTGAGTTTCAAAAATGAAGAAAAAATGGTTAAAAAAAATTTAATAAGTACTTGCTTTAATTAGGTATAAAGAACAGCAAAAAGGAAAAAATTAAGATATCTTACCATTTACAACCAAGTTTGTCCCATTAACAAATTTAAGTGTGTATGCTGCTCCTGCTTGACATAAGTATATTGCCTCGTCCTCTTTACTGACATTAATGATGGTCAGGATATGCAAGTACCCTTCATTCTTAACTTGGAATCTTGACTCTGGAAAGGACTTTTGAACTTTTAATTCTACAAAACTTCCTGAAACAACTGTTTGGACCATATATCCATAACTCATCTTATACCAGAAAAACAGTGCTTCTTCTTGCCCAGATACATTACATATCAGATTCACAGTTTTACCAAGTCCAGCTTGGGTCAGAGGTATGTTGTCAGGAACCTTTAGGGTTCCAACCACAGCTAAAAAGAAGAAAGAACAATGCAATAATAGTCTGAAAAAGCAAAGCAAAAACTATAGACAGCTTGATCAATATCTTATTTAAACTCACTCATTGAGATAAGAAAGATGAAAGCAGCCAGTGCTCTGGCCATTGGTGTCTTGTCACGTCTCTCTTGCATAACTGAGTGATTTCCACGCAGTTTGATGATTTGGGTTATCAAGATTGATCGAGTGAAAATCGCTCTGATTGGCTAAAACATTGAGGGCACACACCTCCAAATCTGCAAAACGATAACCCATTTTCATCAAATCTGGAATAAATCAGTCTTTAATCTCTTAATATTTATAAAACCCAGAACCATGTGTCCTTACCAGGTTACCATATTTACAGTTTTGTGTTGCACAAGATAAATTTGTTGTTTATTGTTTTTTCTGTATAGGAAAAAACATGTGTCTTCAAATTCAAATGATCATTTTGGAGTTTAGGGTAGCAAAACATAATGATGAAATGAAAAATGCAAAATGACCTAAAAACTGTTGACAAAAGCTACACCTAACAGACAATATCTACTGATAAACTTAAACGGTTACACATTTATGCATTATAAAAGACGTAATTTCTTTTGCTTTAATCTAAATACTACTGAAACCTTTATGATTGACCTAAATTGTTCTCGAAGCCCCCCAAGAATCTGTTTGGTGCTGTTAGCTTGTTATTGTAAAACTTGCTGGCTTTCAACCAACAGACCCTGATTATTATGAGAGAGTACATACAACCTGAAGATATTTGCGTTTGTGAAAGTTTTACAGGAAACCCAACTTAACGCAACTATTTTCATGAAACCTGAAACTGTATTCTAAGGGGAGTGTTACAGACACAGTTAATGCCTCTGAAGTGCTGTGAGATTTTTTTTTTTTACATCTTCGAGGTGAAGGGGAAATCTTGCAAAAAAAGAGGTCAGTATTTAGTGCATAAGTTTTTAAGATAGAATCATACCAACCTGAATGTGTTCAAACATGATTAAAATCAGGTCTTCTACTTACGGCTTTATATTTTTGAAGTCATCAGATTATAATATGGCACACATTCTCCAGCTTAAATAGGTCAAAGAAATAAAGTAAATAACAATATTTAACAAAAACAAGTCATTTTACATGATTAGACATTTTTTTTTCTTTAAATAAACAACATAAATCAAGTGTCATTGAGATGCCTATTTATACATATCAAATACATAACATTCTACCATTCTTTAATGACACGTGAAAAGTATATGAAACAGATTGTATTGTATTATCAAATCAACATGTTTAGCCAGCTACTGTTGTTCTCTATTTATCTAATTGCAGGTATCTACTTCCGCATTGGTAAATCTTACTACAACTTATTTTGCTTACTTTCTACCTTCTTATCTCTTAGCCAAATTAAGCCACAGAAAAGTACAAAACTAAATTTTCAAGGATAATCTATCTAGCTGGTAGAAATTTTAAATAATTGGAAAATATTTTAAAAAAAGAAATACCGGTACAAAACATTTAGGTCAAAGTGTTAGTGACATTCTGCCATCCTGTGAAAAGTACATGAAAAAGATTTTATTGTATTTTCAAGTTTCCTTGTTTAGTCAGGGGCTCTTGTTTTGTGTTATTCTAAATGAAAGCCTAAAAGCTGTAAAGATAAGATTGCTGACAATCAGTATCTTCACATCACTTTCTTGTGATATACTTTGGGGTTCCAGAGGTAACTTTATTAGAACTGATGCTCTCCAGGAAAACCTGGGGCCTAAAAAGAGAGATGGATGTAAAATCTCAGCTTAAATAAGAGGCAGAAAGGACAGAGCTAAACTGACAAACAGTAGTAAACATCCAACTTAAAAACTATGGATTATGCTAGATTATGGTTGAAATCTTGGTGTCATGATGGACTGACACCTGAACCTACAGAGGTACAAAAAGGCATTTCTACTAAGCCTACTAGTTATACCGAGAACAAGAACCAAACACTGAGAAGCAACATTTAGTTTTTATGTTCCACTCATCTGGAACAAACTCCCAGAAGACTGTCAAACTGCTGAAAGCCTGAGTTCTTTAAAGTCAAGGTTTAAAACCCATTTGTTAAGAACTGCATTTGACTTGTGAAGTTGAACTTTTCACTGAGGTATAATTAATCAAATTTTTAAAACTGTTTTGCTTTACTTTTTTTTTTTTATCTCTACTGGCTTTTATTGTGCTATTACATTTCTTCTATTTCTGTCATGATGGGTGTCACAGAGAGTAAGCCCAAGATGCAGAACACACACGGAGGCACTGGTAAAAGTCCAAAGAGTTTATTAAAGAACACTAATATGAAAATGACATGGGAACTGGTTCAGTCCGGGGGGCTGGTTCACTGGGGTCCGAGTAGGGAAAGGGAGATGGCTGGATTTGAGCTTCCAGCTCACTGCAGGGAAACAACAGGGGAAATCCACATGGGAACCTCTTGGGGAAACTCCACAGGGGAGTCGACAGGTAGCATCCACGTAGACTTCAAGGGTTGGCTCACCAGGGCAGATTAGCAGGTTAGCTTTCCTAGAGCGTCAGGCTTGGGACTGGCTTCCTATGATGCAACTCTCCCAGAGCTGCAGGCCAGAGACAGGTTGCCAGAGAGACAGTTCTTCCAGAGCTTCACAGGGAAACAGGAGGTTAATCTCATCCAGAGCTTTCACGAGGAGACAGGTGGTTAAGCTCATCCAGAGCTTTCACGAGGAGACAGGTGGTTAAGCTCATCCAGAGCTTTCACGAGGAGACAGGTGGTTAAGCTCATCCAGAGCTTTCACGAGGAGACAGGAGGTTGAGCTCATCCAGAGCTTTCACGAGGAGACAGGGGGTTAAGCTCATCCAGAGCTTTCACAAAGAGACAGGATTCCTGTGAGGCAGAGACAAGGAAGAATTAGAATCTGATCTCACACTAGAGATAACAAAGATTCATCTGTAACTGAGGTTCAGGAAGCTAACCAACTAAGATCAACACTGCGGCGTAGAATCCAGGTCTGAAGGTAGCTTAAATACTGTGGTCCTCCTGATTACTAGATCAGCCACAGGCGTGTGAGAGGCTCAGCTTCAGGAGGACCCACGGCGCACTCTGCTGGAGGCAGAGGGTAATCTCCAGAACCTGACAGTGACTCCAGCCCTAAGAGAAAGAGACAAAAGAGAGCAGAAGAGGATCCTCGGTGCCCTCTGGTGGGCAAGCCTGAGGATCCCAACAGAGCCCTCCCCTCAAGGGCGGATTCCAGACGCCCCCTGAAAAAAAAGGTCCAAAAAACAACCCACCAAGGGCGGGCGGAGGGGGCACTAGGGTGAGGAGGGTCAGAGATAACAGAGAATAGAGTCCAGAAAACAAAAAACAACCCACCCAGGGCGGGCGGAGGGGGAAACAGGCCAGGAGGGCAGAAAACAAAAACAGAGTCCAGAACAAAAAATGATCCACTTATGGTGGACGACAGTAAAAGAAAACCCAAAAACTTTCTTGGGCACAGTCTCTGGTGGCCGGCCGAGGGACCGGCAGCGGGACAGATTCTCAGGTGACCGGCCGAGGGACCGGCAGCAGGACACAGTCTCAGGTGGCCTGCCGTGGGGCCGGCTGCAGGACACAGTCTCAGGTGGCCTGCCGTGGGGCCGGCTGCAGGACACAGTTTCAGGTGGCCTACTGTGGGGCCGACGGCGGAGGCGTAGTTGCTGCTCAGGAGGTCGACCGTAGAGATGAAGGTGGAGCAGCGTCTTAGGGGGACCACCGCCGGGCCGGAGACACGGTTGAGGTTCAGGAGACCGGCCTACGATCCGGCAACGGAGCAGAGTCTTAGGTGGCCGGCAGCGGGGTCGAAGGCGACGCTGACACTCTGGGGGTCTGCCACGGGGTCGACGGTGAAGATGATGATCCAGGGGTCTGCCGCGGGACCGGAGGCGAAGCTGACGCTCTGGGGGTCCACCACGGGGCCGGAGGTGAAGCTGACGCTCAGGAGGTCTGTCGCGGGGCCGGAGGCGAAGCAGCTTATCAGGAGGATGACGCCCAAGCTTCAGCAGGTACCCCCACGGGGTACCCCGTCCCCTCCTCGGCAGCTCAGGAACAGTCTCAGAAACAGCCGACGACTGAGGCTCTGGAGGAGGCTCTGGGGAGACCGCCGACTGCGGCTCTGGAGGAGGCTCTGGGGAGGCCGCCGACTGCGGCTCCGGAGGAGGCTCTGAAGAGGCCGCCGACTGCGGCTCCGGAGGAGGCTCTGAAGAGGCCGCCGACTGCGGCTCCGGAGGAGGCTCTGAAGAGGCCGCCGACTGCGGCTCCGGAGGAGGCTCTGAAGAGGCCGCCGACTGCGGCTCTCTAGCAGGGGAGCCTGCCGAATGCGGCTCCCGATCAGGAACAGGGGAGCCCGCCGATTGCGGCTCCCGATCAGGAACAGGGGAGCCCGCCGATTGCGGCTCCCGATCAGGAACAGGGGAGCCCACCGATTGCGGCTCCCGATCAGGAACAGGGGAGCCCGCCGATTGCGGCTCCCGATCAGGAACAGGGGAGCCCGCCGATTGCGGCTCCCGATCAGGAACATGCGGAACCACCGAATGTGGTTCAGTCTCTGGTGCAGGCGATACCACCGACTGTGGTTCAGCCTCAGGAACTGGGGAGGCCACCGACTGTGGCTCCACCACAGGAACAGGAGACATCACCGACTGTGGTTCAGCCTCAGGAGCAGGTGGAACCACCGACTGTGGTTCCACCTCAGGAAACAGAGGGGCCACCCAAGGATGCTCAAGTTCAGGCTCAGAGGTGGCTTGAGGCGTAGGTGGAGGGTTCTTGGTGATTAGTGGCCTCTGCTGAGGGAACCTTGGAGGCACATTTTCACCAACACTAATTTCAGACGCCCTCTTAAGTGTATGCTCAGGGGTCACAGGGCGGCACAGAACAGGCTCAGGGGTCTCTAGACGGCACAGAGCTGAGTTAAGGCGACGCCGTTTCTTACGCCGAGGGGTCTTGGGAGCTAAGCTAGCAGGTGTATTGATAGAATCAGACGATAAATTAACCGGTTGAGAAGTAAGAATTCCAGAATGGATTACAGGGTCTGGGGCTAACAAATCAGGCATGGGGTCAGGTTCAAAACAAACTGGGTTATTTTCTGGTCTTGGAGCTGGATGTGGTGGCTCGAAGGGGAAGATATCCTCCCTATCCCCATAAAAATAATCCCAGAGATCAGACTCATGGATGTGGGGAGCTAGATA